CAAGCCCTTGGTCGTATCTTTTCTCCCGCCGGTTCCGACAAATGGTGACCCCCGACGTGATCACTGCTGGCAGGATCATAGGAGCACCACGGTCGACGGCGTCTTGGTTCGGGTCCTTTCTGCAGCGGGGACGGCGAAAGCACTGCTATCCAGGGAAGGAGTGCCGCGCCCTAGGTGACCTCATCGGAGGGCCTAGCCGATACGGTCTGCCGAACCCTGTAAGGCTGCAACTGCACAAGGTTAGAATGGACAGGGAAGCAGCTTATATGCTCTTTACGTGCTTCTTAGAGAAGTGAGGGATAAAAGAGATAGATTTAAAAAAGGAGCTCCCTGAGCTCTTGCTATATGGGCAGGAGAAAGGGTTTTTTGTAAACCCTCATACTGCTCATGAATTATCTGAGTGGAGGAGGTTTGGGGACCACCTATGGGAAGCTACCCTGGACGGGGATAAGGCAGCCAAGAAATGAGGTAGATTGTGGCGGCCGGTACATAACGCGCTCCTGCAGAGCCGAGCTGAGAAAAAAGCCGCGCAAGAAATTGTGTCGGCACAGCAGCGAAATGAGAGGTACGAGTGGGCGCCGCCCATTCCCCCAGATGTTCATGTTATTACTCTTCCTCCTCCTTGCTCCGGCGGAGCTCATGCCAGCGGTCCTTCAGCTCCCCCTACAGGAGCAGAGCCGCCTTCCCAGCCAGATCTCAGGCAGCCAGTACAGTCGGCAGAGCCTCTTCCGGGAGCGCAGGGTGAGCTGACTGAGGCTCTTGCAAAACAGCGTAGAGAGGCATGGGCAAATCTGGCGCGCCAGTGTGTGCAGGAGGGGGATGCTGAAGGGTCGAATGTCGTGCAAGATTTGGCATTCCCTGTAGTGTATACGCCATTAGCGGGCGGGGGAACGCAGGCAACGATTGTAAATCCTGATTGGAAGCTTTTGTCTCAACTCAGGGCTATAGTTAGTCAGTATGGCATAACAGGGGAGCCAACGAAACAGATATTGGATTTCATTTGGGGGTCCCAAGTACTACTGCCCAGAGACATGAGGGGCATAGCCAGGTTGATATTAACCCAACATCAAGGACTGCTATTTAATGCGCACTGGCATGATGCAGCCCAAAGAAGTGTGCTGGTTCAGCGCCAGCCAGGAGATCCTCTTTTCCAGATTACCCTGGATGAGATCCTGGGTTTCGGCAATTTTCTCAGAATCGAGGCTCAGGCAATGTTAGGACCTGACCAATTACGTGAGTCTATGCATTGTGCAAGGTCTGCCCTGAGTCATATTAGGGCGCCTGGGGGTATCCCCACTTCCATGGGCATTCAGCAGAAAAGGGACGAGGCTTTTGGATCATTGATTGACAGGGTAGCTGCAGCTATTGATGCTGCGGGGGTGCCTGACTATATGAAGGGCGCCATGTTAAAGCAATGTGCTCTGCAGAATGGCAATTCTGCCACTAAATCTATTCTGAATAATCTTAGCAGTGGGTGGAGCATTGAGGAAGCTTGAGAAAAAATGGTGAATATACCCTCTGGAGCACAGGCTTTCTTAGTCCAGGCTATCAAAGAGCTAGGCGAAGGTATGAAAGCACAGGCTCAAGCCTGTCAGAGTCAGGTACTGGCTGCACTTGCGCCCTTACAGGGTCCCGGCTCCAGTGCTCTAATAGGTCAAGGCCCCCGTCGTCCGAGATGTTTCCGGTGCGGAAACATGGGTCATGTCCGAAGGGAGCGTAAAACCCCTCAGGTGTGCTGTGACATCTGTAAGCCTGGCTCGCACGCAACTAAAGCCTGCCGTCCGGGAAACTCCCAGATCAGCGCGAGAAGGGACCGCCGTGCAAGGACACAAATTGCGACCATCTCTGCTCAACCGGAACTACAGGACCAGTCCTACAACCTGCAACACGGGGAAGCCTCGGCCTGGACCTGGCAGCCGCAGTAACTGTCACGCTATCTTCACACCGACCCACACGCATCTCCACCGGGGTCAAGGGCCCGCTCATTATTGGAGGCCAACCTATGGGAGGACTGATATTGGGAAGATCCTCTGCGTCTACGTTGGGGTTATTTATCATAGCAGGTGTGATTGATGCAGATGACCAAGGAGAGGTTTATGTGATGGCTACACGCCTTGGCCTCCAATTACGGTTCAACAGGGTCAGCGCTTCGCTCAAATCGTTCCCCTCCAGCAGCAAGCGGTTGGAATCACCCCTCGAGAGATTCGACCAAGAGGCAGCGGCAGCTTTGGCTCCTCCGATAAGTTGGTCTTGCTTTCAGTGGGACTCGGTCAGCGACCCAAGCAGCACATTACCATACTATACAAAGAGGATCCCGAGCACTGGCCATGCTACCAAGCCTCAGGCACAGTTATCGGTGTGGGAGGCGTGATAATTGCTCGACAGACACCCCTACTGACTGTTCATATCGATGACTATAGCCTCTCACTGAAGATGGCGATCCTACCACTCCCACTTGCTGTAGCCTGTCTGCTAGGAAGAAACGTTCTCTCCCAGCTGGGGCTTTGATTAACAAATGACAAGAAGGGTTTTTAGGAGGGGCCGGTGCTTTGGTTTTCCCGATCCAAATCAGATGGTTAGAGGACTCTCCCATTTGGGTTAAGCAATGGCCCCTGAAAAGGGAAAACCTAATCCAGGCACACAAGTTAGTTCAGGAACAGCTAGAACTTGGCCATTTTAGACCGTCTACCAGCCCATGGAACACCCCCATCTTCGTCATAAAAAAGAAATCGGGAAAGTTCAGACTGTACCATGACCTCAGAGCAGTTCATGATCAAATGGAAGGGATGGGGCCGCTACAACCTGGTCTCCCGAATCCTAGTATGATACCCCGTAACTGGGACCTCCTCATTATTGATCTGAAAGACTGTTTTTTCACTATTAGCCTGCGTGAAAAGGACATTAAGCGCTTTGCTTTCACATTACCTTCAATCAATCATGCGTCTCCGGATGACTGGTTTGAGTGGACGGTGTTGCCGCAAGGAATGAAGAACAGCCCAACACTCTGCCAGTTCTTTGTAGCACACACCTTACGGCCCTTCCAAGCAGCCTGGCCAGAAACAGTGATTTATCACTACGTGGACGATATTTTGTTTGCTCGCCCTGACAGTTTTAAAGATAAGGATGTAGACATCATTCGATCTCATCTATCGTTGGCAGGACTCGTCATTGCGAACGAGAAAATTCAGCGCTCATCTCCATGGAAGTACTTGGGTCTAATTATCTCTCAAACTGATATCACTCCACAGAAATTGAGTCTTAAAGCGGAACTGAAAACCTTGAATGACGCACAGCAGTTCCTCGGGGACCTGCAGTGGCTACGGCCCGTTGTGGGCATACCAAATGAACTCCTTGCTAGTCTCCGACCTTTACTCCGTGGGACCGACCCGTCACAACCCGTCAGCCTTGATGAAGAACAGCGTGCTGCCATCCAAGCGATTTCGGCACACATTACAGATGACTGCATTTCCCCATGCGATTTGGACCTACCCTTTCATCTGGTCGTTTGGATGGGCCCTCAATTCCCCATAGCGGGACTATGTCAAAAGAAAAAGGGGGGAGAGGATGTGGGTAGTTGAATGGATCTGCACGAAATTACGGCAATCAAAAACATTACTTCAGAAAATAGAATGTATAGCACAGCTCATAAGGAAGGGTAGAGAGGGGGCTCTTCAAATAACAGGAACAGAACCCAGTGTCATTCAGATACCCATGAAAGCAGAAACACTGCATTGGTACCTTTGAAACTCAACAATACGACAGGAAGTGCTACTAGGCAGTAGCAGCACAGTGCTAACAGAGAACTTAGAAGCCCCCCCTTGAAATTGTCTCAGTAAATGGCAGTGGGTGGGGGCACCCCTGTGCTCTAAACAGCCTCTCCCAAAAGCAACAACGGTTTACACCCATGCCGGCCGGAAATCGCATTCTGCAGTGGCGGTATGGAAGCTGGGTGACCAATGGCATCAGCACTTGATGCCAGGAAATCAGCAGGACTCTCTGCAGACCTTAGAGCTCCTAGCAGTGCTATGGGCCCTGTCACATTTCAACGAGGATGTGAATATTGTCACTGACTCGTTAGATGTGGCAGGAATCGCCACCAGAACAGAGCATGCGTACATCAAGGAAGTTTCTAACCCGAGACTATTTCAGCTGCTGCTCCAATTACAGAGAGCAAGCCAGCCCCGAACTAACTGCTATTGCATTATCCACATCCGAAGCCACATGTGCATGAGGAAGACTGTTAAACAAAACAGACCTGGCTGGTCTGAAAGGGTCAAACAGGGAACACGCAGCCCCTCCTGAAAGGGAAGGACTGCCATGTGAAACTGGCAAGCATAAGTTACAGCTTCTTCGTTTCGTGACCAAGAGCAGAACATGTTCTGTGGAGAGAACACCTTTTGATCACTGTACTGACCATAATCCACAAAGAGCTAATTAAGTAATGATGTATTGCTGTCAGCTGCATGAATGTTATCTGATTTAAGTATTGTATACTCCTGTAGCTAAAAGATATAAAAACCCTGTAACAACAATAAAGATTGCTTCTTGCGCCACCAGAGCCTCAGCCGGTCTGTCCCAGGCGTCTTGAGCTGCTCTCCGTCATGTGGGGAGAGGGGTTAGGTGAAGGAAACACTATAGCAGATACTTCAGTTTCCTGCTCGTTTAACTCATCTCAATCTCAATTGTAAGATGCTGGAGAGTCGCATCAATTTTTGCACCCAAACGCAAAAGGCCTCCAACAACAGTTGAAGATCCCTGCGGAGGCAGCCCAAATAATTGTTAGGGCTTGTCCTGTTTGTTCCCATCATAATGGCGGGATTGGATTGGGTTATGGAGTAAACCCGAGAGGCCTACAAGTAAATGAGTTGTGGCAAATGGACGTAACTCGTGTTCCTGAGTTTGGTAGGTTAAAGTACATTCATGTTTCCACAGACACATTTTCTCACTTTATTTGGGCCACGGCACAACCGGCGCAGAAGGCATTGCACGTGGAAAGGCATTTGTGTGCTGCAGTTGCTGTCATGGGCTTGCCAACGAAAATAAAGACGGACAACGGTCCGGCCTACAGTAGCGCTCGTCTTCACAGGTTCCTATCGCTGTGGGGAATCCAACATAGCACAGGCATCTCTCACTCTCCTACCGGTCAAGCTATTGTAGAGAGGGCAAATGGTACTCTGAAGCGCTATCTGAAAAGGTTCTCTGATGTACCTGAGCCAGCAACCAGGCTGGCTAAAGCGCTGTTTGTGTTAAACCATCTGTGCATCTTTGGCTCTGATCAAGTGTCGCCTGTGCAGCTACATGGTGGGAAGGTAGTTAGAGAAAGGTCTATCGAAGTCTGGGTGCGCTACCGAGACCCGAAATCCGGTATCTGGCCAGGTCCAGCTAAAGTGTTGTTCTGGGGACGTGGTTACGTATGTGTGTCTACCCCTACAGGCTCCCTCTGGGTTCCAGCCCGATGGATCCGACCGGACCTTCGGAACAATCATGACTCCGTTTCTAAGGACGGTGCTGACATCCCTGCTAGTGACAAGCGCACGGACGCTCTGGATGCCTCCGCAGCCTAAGCAGAATGTCTGGGTAACAATCGCTAATCAGACGGGCCAGGAGGTTTTGTGCCTTGCTATGTCTTCTCCAAGTAACCCATTTTCTACGTGTTTGCTCGGAATACCCTTAGAATCTTTGCCTTGTCCCCCGTCAGCCCTCCCCTGTAACAGCACACACCCGCGATCGTACGCTGATGGGTGGGATTCATTTCTACCGTATTTCCCACCCGCCGATTTGGAGCCTCAGGAGCGAGAATTATTAGGGTCTATACGGGCCGACTGGTGCATCTTTTTGAATTGGAACAGTATTGCAACAGCCAGCCCCGCCAACCATCCTGTGGTCGTCAACTCCTCTCTCTCTGCTCATCGAAATGCATCTGCCTGGTGCCACTATACTAGTCCTAACATATCAAGATGGTCAAACTCACCCATCCAGCTTCCGCCGGGGATATTCTTGATTTGGGGCGACCGAGCGTGGCCTAGTGTAGCATCCAGATTGAGGGCTGGGCCTTGTACCTTAGGTCGACTGTCACCGTTGGCCCCCACTACGTCAGTGCTGTTACAACACCGTCAGCCTAGAAGGCACAAGCGTATGGCTCATGCCTTCGCTAAAGAATGCGACTCAAACGCTGACTTTTGGAATTTTGAACACAGGTTCTTTTCTTCTCTATCAGCTCCTGGGGTAGCCAGCGCCAAAGCTCTATCTACCCTTCACAAACTGGGCTGCTGGCTCGCTAAGCAAACTAACGCTACATCACTTGCTATTAGTAATCTTTTATTAGATGTAGACTCGGTCCGCCATGCCACTTGTCAAGATCGCGCCGCCATCGATTTTCTGCTACTTGTGCATGGGCATGGGTGTGAGGATCTCGAAGGTATGTGCTGTATGAACTCGTCTGATCACTCGCAATCTATTCCTAAGCAACTGTCTGTTTTACAAGGGCTGACTTCTGGCCTACGAGAAGAAGAAGGTCTGGGGCTGGATCAGTGGCTGAAAAGTCTTGGTTTAGGCCCCTGGGTGCGCGATAGAAGTAAATATTTGTTGGTCCTCCTGGGATTTGTGTTCTTGGTTATGATACCCGTGCCTTGCTGTCTTACCTGTCTGCAAAGCTTCATTACTCGCATGACATCTAGAGCCTTTTGCGCCAATCTGCTAGCCCTAAAAGAGGAAGGGGGAAGTGTGGAGAGCATTGCTGAAAGCTGGCTTGCAGAAATGGGTCATGTTGACACAATCCCGCTGATAAGACTGAAATAACTAGGCAGAAACACTAAACTAAACACTAAATCTATTCTGAATAATCTTAGCATTGTTGGACCATTGAGGAAGCTTTAGAAAAAGCTTCCAAAACCTCAGCAGGTCAGCATTCCCCTACTCCAGGGAAGGTGATGGAGCAGATTGTCTTGAGGGAGACCATGCGGCATGTGCGGGGTGACCGGGGAGGGGATCAGGCCTAGCCAGCTTGGGTTCGTGAAGGGCAGGTCCTGTTTGACCAACCTGATCTCCTTCTATGATCCATCTGGTGGATGAGGGAAAGGCTGTTGCTGTGCTCTACCTAGACTTCAGCAAAGCCTTTGACACTGTCTGCCACAGCATTCTCCTGCAGAAGCTGGCAGCCCGAGGCTTGCATGGGGGCACTCTGGGCTGGATGAGGCGCTGGCTGGAGGGCCGAGCTCAGAGAGTGGTGGTGAATGGAGTTGAATCCAGCTGGCGACCGGTCGCGAGTGGTGTTCCCCAGGGGTCGGTGCTGGGCCTGTCCTCTTCAATATCTTGATTGATGACCTGGACGAGGGCATTGAGTGCAGCCTCAGTAAATTTCCAGATGACACCAAATGGGCTGGAAGTGTGGATCTGCCTGGGGGTAGCGAGGCCCTGCAGAGGGATCTGGACAGGCAGGAGAGCTGGGCTGAAGCCAATGGGATGAGTTTCAACAAGGCCAAATGCCGGGTCCTGCACTTGGGCCACAACAACCCCAGGCGACGCTGCCGGTTTGGGGCGGTGTGGCTGGAGGACGGCGTAGAGGAAATGGACCTGGGCACTTCTCCCTTCCACTCTTCGTCACGGAACGCAGAAGTGGAGCCACGGAGAAGCACACTGCAACGACCTGTCGCTCGAAGGAGAGGCACGGACACCGCATTCCGAGCCAGGCGTAGTGCGTCCTTCATAAACGTACGCCAGGCGAAGTCAAAAAGCGCTCCTTTTCGATGCGCGCAGAAGAGCCCGCGACTCGGGGAAAAGCTGCCGCCGGCAGTCGCTCTTCCGCGCCGAGCGAACAAGGCGAGACCGCGGCTGAGCGCTGGAAGCCGCAACCGGGAAGAAGCGCGATTTCTCGGGCAGCGAGTGCAAACGCTCCGGAGCCATTCAGCGCGAATGCCGGTTTCCAGCCGTGAGAGCCAAGTCGTGCCATTCTTTATCGCGGAACGTGAGGCATCACCTGCCCTGTGTTTCTGGCAGAGGTCAATCCGGTCAGAGCACTTCTGGCTAAAAGTGTGATCTCAAGCTAGAAATAAAACTGGAAGTAAAATGATGTCATTAAAGCTGAACTGACGAAATGACATAAATATATGCGTCTGTCTCCATGCTTGTGACTAGATACTATGTCCATCATTACCTGCTGGTCTAATGAGCCTACGAAAGTTCAAATGGAAATGTTGTCTTGCTGCATAAGGGAGAGAATTCAGTGGTAAAGCCAGGAAAATCCATCTCTTTCAGAAACATTTTCAGGACATAAACAAGCGTTGTATATACCCAGAGCCAATCCAACAGAGAAACGCACTGCCTCTGAGGCAGAGCAAACTAGTTTCTCGCAGTGAGCAATACTGCAGTGTCGCAGCATGGGTTTTGAATTCTGTTTCAGTGGAGGAACTCCAAGAAACAAAAACACATTCATAATAAGCTTCTGCCTGCAATCCTGGAAGTCTTGAAATTCTTGATTGTAGTGTGCTGAGTAAGTGAACAGACATTCTTTTATTCCATCAACGAGAGCGTTTCCTTTTTGTTTTGTTCTGTTTTAATTTAGGCTGCAAATGACGTAAAGGAGAAAGCCACTAAGAACACTAACTAATGAGAGAAAAAATAAACAACACTGGCATTTACTGTTAATGCAGTTCCTACTTCGAGATTGATGGTCAAAGAAATGGTAGGATTTCCTTAGTCTTCGGATAAACTTTCCTGATACTCATTTCTTTGTAGAAAGCACGTGATCCTTAGTTTGCACTTTCTCAGCAAAAGCCAGTGTGCTTTTCAGAATCAACAAATATCTGAACATTCATACGCTCACCGAGTCTCATACTTCTGTGAGCCTACTGCCAGTGTATCCTGTCAAAGATTAAGTGAGTTATTGTCTGGTGATTAAAAAAACGGCATGTTCTAAAGTAGTCCGAATATGATGGCTGCTACTTATCTGAACAGTGTTTCTTTATGGGTAAGCAGAGTAACGGTACGCAGAAGTAAAACCTCAGTCTAGACTAGAGAAATTTCACCACACGAATACTGTTCATGCCTACTAATCTGCTCATCAGACTTTTCTAAATACAATACACAGTATGCTAAAAGCTGAGGTCAGACAGTTTTGCTTCCATTTCCTGGTTTGCAACCACTCCAGTTGCGCTGGTTATTCTGTGAAATGAATAGATACGTCAAAAGATAAACTCAGCAACCACTAAGAAACACTGAGTGCTCTGTTTCAGCTTTTTTAACCTTTTCGCATTGTCAGTCACTACGGATATTCTAAGTTTAGCTCATGGAAAGATACTTTTTTCTTGCTCTTTACATCCCACTACTTACTTGATGACTGCTCACATACAACCCTTTAGTGTTCCCATGCCTGTAACTTCCAGACTTTGCTTGTAGGCTCTGTTTCTGAGCGGTCTCATTATAATTATTATTTTTGCTGCATATCATTCTTCTTTATCTTCCATTAAAAAAATGGAGCACATCTTTTCATTACAGAAGATCATAGCCCACCGTCAGCTTTGCTCAGGGAGAATGGATTGATGATTTCTTCGCGTGCCCTGTTCACTTCCATGGCTATTATCTTTTCCATTTCTTCCATTATTTCAGATTTGTTATGCTAGCACTTGCTTTTCATCCTTTCCAAACCTCTACTGTCCTTACCACGGATGAATGGGTGTCTTTCAAAGATTCCTTTTTCTCTTCAAGAAATCTAAGCAGTAAGCAGTTTCGTCTACCTGCTATACAATAGCTTTCAAATTCACTTGGGAAAGAAAGGTATAGTCTGTCAGAGAAAAGAAGGTTCTGAAGGCATATATTTTACATCGCTTGTTTTCTTTTCACACTCAGGATATTGCACAAGTTGTATTTAGTTGACGGAATTTTCGTGAAATTGGACTGGAAGGTAAACCAAAGTATTTCAGGTTTAGAAAGCAACATGGAAAAGGGGAGAGAGCTAGAAAAGCAAACATTTTCCTCTCCTTGACAACATCCAGAGATTTGAAGACAATTCTTACTCTTAATCTTTCTTCCTAACAGCAACAGTTCAGAGTCTACTGAGCGCTAAGTGGACTGTAACTCTGGTTTCAGAGGACAAAGCCAGACAAAAGGCTTCATATATTACATCTGCTGCTGCTTGGCATGGCGGAGCATGGCGTGATACGGTGAAGTGAAACATACTCACCAGGTCTTCATCTTCCACTTCAGAATCTTTCATTTAGCCTTCAGGATACCCCTTCTGGCTGAAGTTTCAGTAACACTATGAAAGGAGTTTTTTAAATCTCCATTTTCATTATGAAGTGATGATTCAGAACGATGTTTTGAAAACTCCCCAAAGCCATGAAGAGTAGCACGCTCAAGATGATAGAGACAATATAGTTGAGAAATGAGTGTGATCAGGAGGATATAAAGGAAAACAAGTTCCCTACTCTTGCTTACCTTTACCTTTCCCAACACACGGTTTTTTCCCTATGCACTTCAGGGGCAAGCGTAAACACTCATAACTACAGATAAACCACGTTGAAGCAGAAACACACTCATGATGCATGTTCCACTGTCAAATGCTCTAGGAGTCTTAAGCAAGGTTTTACGGAACCAAAAGCAGAGTGCTAGTTTCTGAGAGAGATTTGGTGAAGCCAATGGCTTTGAGGTTTTCAAAGGAAGAAGCCATTGTGAGCAGAACAGACAGCCAAGGACTAGGTAGCATTATCGAAATTGGGAGGTACGAGTTTGTTTGTAATCCAAGATAAATGGCAGAGAGGTATATCTATCGGTGGTAGAAAAAGAGAGACCACACTCTACGTCACAGGTGTGGGTGGCAAGATTAAATGAAATGCAGGCCACATGGGCAGATGATTTACAGAAGAAAAAGAAAACAAAGGAAATCAGAGTCAGCCGGAAGATATTTCTACTAGAAACACCGAAGAGCCATCACCTCCTTTCCTATCACTGTTTGATCACTGTTCCCTGGGAGAAGAAGCTGACCTTCACCACACCTCAAACAGGTCTCAGGGAGTTGCAGAGAGTGATCAGGTCTCCCTTGGAGCCTTATCTTCTCCAGACTCAACAATCCTAGCTCCCTCAGCCACTCCCCAGAAGACTTGGATTCCAGACCGTTCTCCAGCTTCGTTGCCCCTCTCCGGACACATTCCATGGCCTCAAGGTCTTCCTTGTAGTGAGTGGCCCAAAACTGAACACAGAGCTCATGTTGTGGCCTCACCAGGCAGACAATCACCTCCTTAGTCCCTCTTGAATGATCTTGGAACTCTCTAATATGTGCTATCTTTGTGTCTTTACATACCCGACTGTGAATTCTTCAGGCCCCTCTGTGAATTCTGTGAAAAGAATCATCATGAACTGCTAGCAAAGAAATCAATACGGCATAAAACTGCACTGTGATTAAACTAGAAACCTGGAATCAGATACATGGATCATCCAGAAGTAATGGTTCCTATTTATTGATTTCCATGGAAACTCAAACTGAGGCACAAAGGGCACAATAACACAGTTTGATCGAGAAAATTCTCAGCTACAAAGCCTTTTTTTTTCCAACATAATCACTGTCATCAGCCAATTTGTGCAGACGAGCTGCTTGAGACACTCTCTATTCATTGGAACAGTATTGCAACAGCCAGCCCCGCCAACCATCCTGTGGTCGTCAACTCCTCTCTCTCTGCTCATCGAAATGCATCTGCCTGGTGCCACTATACTAGTCCTAACATATCAAGATGGTCAAACTCACCCATTCAGCTTCCGCCGGGGATATTCTTGATTTGGGGCGACCGAGCGTGGCCTAGTGTAGCATCCAGATTGAGGGCTGGGCCTTGTACCTTAGGTCGATTGTCACCGTTGGCCCCCACTACGTCAGTGCTGTTACAACACCGTCAGCCTAGAAGGCACAAGCGTATGGCTCATGCCTTCACTAAAGAATGCGACTCAAACGCTGACTTTTGGAATTTTGAACACAGGTTCTTTTCTTCTCTATCAGCTCCTGGGGTAGCCAGCGCCAAAGCTCTATCTACCCTTCACAAACTGGGCTGCTGGCTCGCTAAGCAAACTAACGCTACATCACTTGCTATTAGTAATCTTTTATTAGATGTAGACTCGGTCCGCCATGCCACTTGTCAAGATCGCGCCGCCATCGATTTTCTGCTACTTGTGCATGGGCATGGGTGTGAGGATCTCGAAGGTATGTGCTGTATGAACTTGTCTGATCACTCGCAATCTATTCCTAAGCAACTGTCTGTTTTACAAGGGCTGACTTCTGGCCTACGAGAAGAAGAAGGTCTGGGGCTGGATCAGTGGCTGAAAAGTCTTGGTTTAGGCCCCTGGGTGCGCGATAGAAGTAAATATTTGTTGGTCCTCCTGGGATTTGTGTTCTTGGTTATGATATCCGTGCCTTGCTGTCTTACCTGTCTGCAAAGCTTCATTACTCGCATGACATCTAGAGCCTTTTGCGCCAATCTGCTAGCCCTAAAAGAGGAAGGGGGAAGTGTGGAGAGCATTGCTGAAAGCTGGCTTGCAGAAAAGGGTCATGTTGACACAATCCCGCTGATAAGACTGAAATAACTAGGCAGAAACACTAAACTAAACACTAAATCTATTCTGAATAATCTTAGCATTGTTGGACCATTGAGGAAGCTTTAGAAAAAGCTTCCAAAACCTCAGCAGGTCAGCATTCCCCTACTCCAGGGAAGGTGATGGAGCAGATTGTCTTGAGGGAGACCATGCGGCATGTGCGGGGTGACCGGGGAGGGGATCAGGCCTAGCCAGCTTGGGTTTGCGAAGGGCAAATCCTGTTTGACCAACCTGATCTCCTTCTATGATCTAGTGACCCATCTGGTGGATGAGGGAAAGGCTGTTGCTGTGCTCTACCTAGACTTCAGCAAAGCCTTTGACACTGTCTGCCACAGCATTCTCCTGCAGAAGCTGGCAGCCCGAGGCTTGCATGGGGGCACTCTGGGCTGGATGAGGCGCTGGCTGGAGGGCCGAGCTCAGAGAGTGGTGGTGAATGGAGTTGAATGCAGCTGGCGACCGGTCGCGAGTGGTGTTCCCCAGGGGTCGGTGCTGGGCCTGTCCTCTTCAATATCTTGATTGATGACCTGGACGAGGGCATTGAGTGCAGCCTCAGTAAATTTCCAGATGACACCAAATGGGCTGGAAGTGTGGATCTGCCTGGGGGTAGCGAGGGATCCCTGCAGAGGGATCTGGACAGGCAGGAGAGCTGGGCTGAAGCCAATGGGATGAGTTTCAACAAGGCCAAATGCCGGGTCCTGCACTGGGCCACAACAACCCCAGGCGACGCTACAGGCTTGGGGCGGTGTGGCTGGAGGACGGCGTAGAGGAAATGGACCTGGGCACTTCTCCCTTGCACTCTTTGTCACGGAACGCAGAAGTGGAGCCACGGAGAAGCACACTGCAACGACCTGTCGCTCGAAGGACAGGCACGGACACCGCATTCCGAGCCAGGCGTAGTGCGTCCTTCATAAACGTACGCCAGGCGAAGTCAAAAAGCGCTCCTTTTCGATGCGCGCAGAAGAGCCCGCGACTCGGGGAAAAGCTGCCGCCGGCAGTCGCTCTTCCGCGCCGAGCGAACAAGGCGAGACCGCGGCTGAGCGCTGGAAGCCGCAACCGGGAAGAAGCGCGATTTCTCGGGCAGCGAGTGCAAACGCTCCGGAGCCATTCAGCGCGAATGCCGGTTTCCAGCCGTGAGAGCCAAGTCGTGCCATTCTTTATCGCGGAACGTGAGGCATCACCTGCCCTGTGTTTCTGGCAGAGGTCAATCTGGTCAGAGCACTTCTGGCTAAAAGTGTGATCTCAAGCTAGAAATAAAACTGGAAGTAAAATGATGTCATTAAAGCTGAACTGACGAAATGACATAAATATATGCGTCTGTCTCCATGCTTGTGACTAGATACTATGTCCATCATTACCTGCTGGTCTAATGAGCCTACGAAAGTTCAAATGGAAATGTTGTCTTGCTGCATAAGGGAGAGAATTCAGTGGTAAAGCCAGGAAAATCCATCTCTTTCAGAAACATTTTCAGGACATAAACAAGCGTTGTATATACCCAGAGCCAATCCAACAGAGAAACGCACTGCCTCTGAGGCAGAGCAAACTAGTTTCTCGCAGTGAGCAATACTGCAGTGTCGCAGCATGGGTTTTGAATTCTGTTTCAGTGGAGGAACTCCAAGAAACAAAAACACATTCATAATAAGCTTCTGCCTGCAATCCTGGAAGTCTTGAAATTCTTGATTGTAGTGTGCTGAGTAAGTGAACAGACATTCTTTTATTCCATCAACGAGAGCGTTTCCTTTTTGTTTTGTTCTGTTTTAATTTAGGCTGCAAATGACGTAAAGGAGAAAGCCACTAAGAACACTAACTAATGAGAGAAAAAATAAACAACACTGGCATTTACTGTTAATGCAGTTCCTACTTCGAGATTGATGGTCAAAGAAATGGTAGGATTTCCTTAGTCTTCGGATAAACTTTCCTGATACTCATTTCTTTGTAGAAAGCACGTGATCCTTAGTTTGCACTTTCTCAGCAAAAGCCAGTGTGCTTTTCAGAATCAACAAATATCTGAACATTCATACGCTCACCGAGTCTCATACTTCTGTGAGCCTACTGCCAGTGTATCCTGTCAAAGATTAAGTGAGTTATTGTCTGGTGATTAAAAAAACGGCATGTTCTAAAGTAGTCCGAATATGATGGCTGCTACTTATCTGAACAGTGTTTCTTTATGGGTAAGCAGAGTAACGGTACGCAGAAGTAAAACCTCAGTCTAGACTAGAGAAATTTCACCACACGAATACTGTTCATGCCTACTAATCTGCTCATCAGACTTTTCTAAATACAATACACAGTATGCTAAAAGCTGAGGTCAGACAGTTTTGCTTCCATTTCCTGGTTTGCAACCACTCCAGTTGCGCTGGTTATTCTGTGAAATGAATAGATACGTCAAAAGATAAACTCAGCAACCACTAAGAAACACTGAGTGCTCTGTTTCAGCTTTTTTAACCTTTTCGCATTGTCAGTCACTACGGATATTCTAAGTTTAGCTCATGGAAAGATACTTTTTTCTTGCTCTTTACATCCCACTACTTACTTGATGACTGCTCACATACAACCCTTTAGTGTTCCCATGCCTGTAACTTCCAGACTTTGCTTGTAGGCTCTGTTTCTGAGCGGTCTCATTATAATTATTATTTTTGCTGCATATCATTCTTCTTTATCTTCCATTAAAAAAATGGAGCACATCTTTTCATTACAGAAGATCATAGCCCACCGTCAGCTTTGCTCAGGGAGAATGGATTGATGATTTCTTCGCGTGCCCTGTTCACTTCCATGGCTATTATCTTTTCCATTTCTTCCATTATTTCAGATTTGTTATGCTAGCACTTGCTTTTCATCCTTTCCAAACCTCTACTGTCCTTACCACGGATGAATGGGTGTCTTTCAAAGATTCCTTTTTCTCTTCAAGAAATCTAAGCAGTAAGCAGTTTCGTCTACCTGCTATACAATAGCTTTCAAATTCACTTGGGAAAGAAAGGTATAGTCTGTCAGAGAAAAGAAGGTTCTGAAGGCATATATTTTACATCGCTTGTTTTCTTTTCACACTCAGGATATTGCACAAGTTGTATTTAGTTGACGGAATTTTCGTGAAATTGGACTGGAAGGTAAACCAAAGTATTTCAGGTTTAGAAAGCAACATGGAAAAGGGGAGAGAGCTAGAAAAGCAAACATTTTCCTCTCCTTGACAACATCCAGAGATTTGAAGACAATTCTTACTCTTAATCTTTCTTCCTAACAGCAACAGTTCAGAGTCTACTGAGCGCTAAGTGGACTGTAACTCTGGTTTCAGAGGACAAAGCCAGACAAAAGGCTTCATATATTACATCTGCTGCTGCTTGGCATGGCGGAGCATGGCGTGATACGGTGAAGTGAAACATACTCACCAGGTCTTCATCTTCCACTTCAGAATCTTTCATTTAGCCTTCAGGATACCCCTTCTGGCTGAAGTTTCAGTAACACTATGAAAGGAGTTTTTTAAATCTCCATTTTCATTATGAAGTGATGATTCAGAACGATGTTTTGAAAACTCCCCAAAGCCATGAAGAGTAGCACGCTCAAGATGATAGAGACAATATAGTTGAGAAATGAGTGTGATCAGGAGGATATAAAGGAAAACAAGTTCCCTACTCTTGCTTACCTTTACCTTTCCCAACACACGGTTTTTTCCCTATGCACTTCAGGGGCAAGCGTAAACACTCATAACTACAGATAAACCACGTTGAAACAGAAACACAAGCATGATGCATGTTCCACTGTCAAATGCTCTAGGAGTCTTAAGCAAGGTTTTACGGAACCAAAAGCAGAGTGCTAGTTTCTGAGAGAGATTTGGTGAAGCCAATGGCTTTGAGGTTTTCAAAGGAAGAAGCCATTGTGAGCAGAACAGACAGCCAAGGACTAGGTAGCATTATCGAAATTGGGAGGTAGGAGTTTGTTTGTAATCCAAGATAAATGGCAGAGAGGTATATCTATCGGTGGTAGAAAAAGAGAGACCACACTCTACATCACAGGTATGGGTGGCAAGATTAAATGAAATGCAGGCCACATGGGCAGATGATTTACAGAAGAAAACGAAAACAAAGGAAATCGGAGTCAGCCGGAAGATATTTCTACTAGAAACACCGAAGAGCCATCACCTCCTTTCCTATCACTGTTTGATCACTGTTCCCTGGGAGAAGAAGCTGACCTTCACCACACCTCAAACAGGTCTCAGGGAGTTGCAGAGAGTGATCAGGTCTCCCTTGGAGCCTTATCTTCTCCAGACTCAACAATCCTAGCTCCCTCAGCCACTCCCCAGAAGACTTGGATTCCAGACCGTTCTCCAGCTTCGTTGCCCCTCTCCGGACACATTCCATGGCCTCAAGGTCTTCCTTGTAGTGAGTGGCCCAAAACTGAACACAGAGCTCATGTTGTGGCCTCACCAGGCAGACAATCACCTCCTTAGTCCCTCTTGAATGATCTTGGAACTCTCTAATATGTGCTATCTTTGTGTCTTTACATACCCGACTGTGAATTCTTCAGGCCCCTCTGTGAATTCTGTGAAAAGAATCATCATGAACTGCTAGCAAAGAAATCAATACGGCATAAAACTGCACTGTGATTAAACTAGAAACCTGGAATCAGATACATGGATCATCCAGAAGTAATGGTTCCTATTTATTGATTTCCATGGAAACTCAAACTGAGGCACAAAGGGCACAATAACACAGTTTGATCGAGAAAATTCTCAGCTACAAAGCCTTTTTTTTTCCAACATAATCACTGTCATCAGCCAATTTGTGCAGACGAGCTGCTTGAGACACTCTCTATTCATTGGAACAGTATTGCAACAGCCAGCCCCGCCAACCATCCTGTGGTCGTCAACTCCTCTCTCTCTGCTCATCGAAATGCATCTGCCTGGTGCCACTATACTAGTCCTAACATATCAAGATGGTCAAACTCACCCATTCAGCTTCCGCCGGGGATATTCTTGATTTGGGGCGACCGAGCGTGGCCTAGTGTAGCATCC